CCCCCCCCCCCAAAAAAAAAAGAAGGGAAAAGAAAAAAAAAGAATCTGGATAAGTGAGACCTGACACTCCTCTGACGACAGTCGACCGCACTTAAATGGTAATCATAGTGGCGACAGAGATGCCAAAAATATCCAGCTCGAACAAGACGGGGAAGAAACAGAAAGGGGAACAAAAAAACAGCAGTCATCATGGCAGCGGCAGGGGCCCTATTATTCTCCAGAGGCCAGGTCCTATTAGGAAAGGGGACTGGATTAAGCTCCGGAATCTGGACGTGTTTTAAGAAGCAGGATGCAGAAGAGCAGGTCAATCTTGATTTTCTGCACCTTTCCACAAACACGTCCAGATTCAGACGTCCAATCCAATCCTCTCGGCTAGTTGGACCTCGCCCCAGCCAAGGAAGGGGTGGAAGAGAGGGGAAGGAAACAAGAAACACACACACACACACACACACACACACACTCGCAGTGACGAGGGTTTCGATTTTGAAGCACAGGCACAGTTCCGCCACGGGGCGGATTTACTGCTGTTTAAAAATGTTGCTATTATGGTTGGTTAAACTTGGATTCTTTTCTTTTCTTTTTTTCTTTGTTCTTTGCTCTTTGTTTTTTTTTAGTTTTAAGTTTTAACTAAGCTATATTCGGTTGAATTCTTTCTTTTTAAAGAAAGATCCCAAGCGCATCATTTTACATCATCAGCACTACCTTTCTTCCCCTGAATACAATGTACGGTAATCATAGCTGTATTTAGACTGAAAGATACCCAAATACATCTATAACGATCATATGTCGTCCTTGTATTCGGGGGAAGAAGGTAGCCAGTGAAAACAGTACCCCTTATCTGGGAACACTGACAAATTATGATGTCACAAGCAAACCAAAAATTTAGAAAACCCTTCAAAAACGGTAGAAAAGGAACTCGCCAAAATTTCCAGAACTGGAAAGTGGAAGCAGTACCCCCTTTTCCAATCCGCGAGCGAGTGGGATTGTGCTCCAGAGGCCAAGTCCTACTGGCAAAGAGGATTGATTTAAGCACCTCAGTGAATCTGAATGTGTTCTATGGAGATATGCAGAACAGCAGTTCAATCCAGATTTCCTGCACCTCTCCACAAACACATCCATGGTCAGGCGTTCACTCCAAATTGATCCTCTTTGCTCGCAGGACCTCGCCTCAGGGCCCAACGTTCCACTTGCCTCAATTCCTCGTTCCCCGCCATTGACATTCCTCGTACAGGTCCCATCTACGGTCAGAAAGGAAGAGCCGAGGTCTATGTGACCTCCTCCAGTTTTCTCCAGCAAGGGACTTTTCTGTGTTTTGTTCCTTTTTCCTTGTCGAAATGAATCTTTTCCTAAATGAATCCTTCTTTCTTTTCTTTCTGTTTTTATGAAACTTCCTTTCATGTGGGACTGTCTTTTTTCCCCAAAAAAATCATTTTCCAGGTGGCAGATGCCTGAGCTCTTTGAGTCAGTGATGACACTGACCAGGTTGGTGTCTGATCAGCTGCCTGGTTGACCTTGTGGTTTATTCCAATTTCCACCCATTTCTTGAATGTCTGTGTCATCCTTGATCGCTCACGGGCCATGCTAGTCTTCACTGTATCGTCCCAAATTTAGCAGATGTGCAGAGGAGGATGCTGACTCATGGGAGGAGAAAGAAAGGCATCGCACTACCTTGGTGCAAGTTATGCTCTTCTGTGTCATCCTTGATTGCCCACGGGCCATGTTAGTCTTCACTGTATCGTCCCAAATTTAGCAGATGTCCAGAGGAGGACGCTGACTCACGGGAGGAGAAAGGCATCGCACTACCTCGGTGCAAGTTGTGCTCCGCAGCTTTCCCTTTCAGGAACATTCCGGAGACCATTGAGCACATCTTTCTTCAATCATGTCCAGGTGCGGTCTGGCTGTGGCGATGGCGGGATAGGATTTGGAGTAGCCTCAATATCTCACTTGGCCCTGGTATTGGAGGGCTCTTTTATGTGAGACCTGGTCTCCGGACCAATTACATGGCTTCTCCCATAACTTATTTACTATCGGCAGAAGGGCCATCCTTTCGGGCCTTTGGCGACGTCGCTGTACCTCCTTTGAAATGGAGGGCGCAAGGCTGGATGGTCCAGACTTTACAGAATCAGAGCATACTCACACTTGGCCCTCAAACTCGCAAAATCGCAAAATGAGCGGCCAGATCGAGTCCTCATAATGGGAGGACTAGATCTGGCCGCTCATTTTGGGACTCTGCGATTTTGAGGGCCTAGTGTGAGTATGCTCGCAATCAAGTTGCAAGGGCAGACAATTATTACAGCTCAATCGAATAAAGTCAAAGAAAAAATCAAATTTTTATCCTCCAAAAAAGTAGTTCTGCAACACATACAAGGTGCCACTGACACCAATATTGACGAAGATGACGACAACGATGATGACAGCAACAGTTCGCAAGTTCGACTGCCGAATGGCAACAACTATAGCAGCACCAAATGGTGATGCTGATGACAACAACAGCAACAAGCAAGACGCCCATGTGGCCTTTCGTGGTCCAATCAACACTGCCCATGTGGTCTCCGAGTTCCATCAACGCTGTGGGAAACTGCATGGGCATACGACATTTTGTATCACTCAGGGACGCTGGAGTGGCTGGACCCATTTTCCAACAGGTGATGCTCCCCGCAACAGACAGAAGCATGAAAAAAAAAAAAAGGTGGTGTACATCCATAGCAATATTTGGATGTCATTCACTAAATTCTGTTGTTAATAAGATTTATAAATCAGTGGTTTGAAACAAAATCAATAAAATGGCTAAAAGCATGAAAACAGATAACAAGTATATAAGAAAAACTGATACGCTGCTCGTATTTTTCTCTGTCTAGAACCCCATACCCCTGCAATAATAAAATTAACGTAGGGATTAAATTTTAAAACGCTTGATCAAATGCTGCGGGGAACTATTTTGTACCACTCAGGGACGCTGGACCTGTTTTCCAGCAGGCGATGCTCTACACCAATAGACAGGAGCCAAACACACAAAAAAAGGTCTTTGAGAGATCCATACCAATAAACGGAATGGCTCCTCCATCATCTTCGCAGCAAGTCCGAGGAGAAGATTATACTGGTGCTCGTGTGTATACGCCCGCGCAACAATAATCTGATTTCAGTAATGACAAAATAGAGAGCAATCACCATCAGTCACATTTAAACCACCCGTACTTACTGAAGTCGTGCCCGTATACAAGCCATGACTTTAGGAAACGTACGGGCCACTACAGGAGCACCCAAATTCATCCTACTAGAAACATTTCTACTCTATTTTTTTGCACGGCCGACAGCTGGCCAAGTACTGGTGGTTTCAGACCCTCCCCTCCTTTTCTTGCTTGGACTCGCTAAAGTCAGGCCTTCGGCTTCGCCCACTTCATGTCCTGAGGTGGCCTGGAAGTCCACGGGGGTCCGTCGGGGAAACTGGCTGGTCCCTTGATCCAGTAAAAGCCCGGCAAATAGGTAAGAGAACTCAAAAATAGCTTTTACCTCGAGTCACAATAAAATTCTTCACCTTTTTTTTTCCTTTTTTTTTCCCCCCGGTCGGTCAAGTGGTCCCCAGCCACTCTGGTAGCCTAGAATTGTAGCAGAATATTAAACTGCCAGTGCCTTCCATATATCGGGTGCGGGACAAAATTAGAGTAGAAGCGTTTCTACTCTGATGAATTTGGGCGCTCCCCAATGGCCTGCTCGCCGATGAATTGTCGGGGCTTGTATACAGCCGCGACTGCGATAGAGCATTCAATTCACGACGAAGCCTACTTCGCAATGACATCCATTTTATAGGGAAGTACCACATGCTACACCTAATCACTAGGGACTTTTTCTAACTAAGCTCTGGACATGATTGTCCGATTCATCTAGGTTTGTCCGTAATTGCAGTCATATACATTCAGGAAAGGGGCAGTGTGAGTATGCCCTGGCAAGTTAGTGAAATTATATGCCAAGGGGGAAAAAAGAGTCCATCATTTGAGGTAGGAAGTTTGTGAAAAAAGGTCATTTGCTTTTCAAAAATTGCACTCTTGTTACGGCTTGGATCTTCTAGGGGCCAAGTCCCACTAGCAGTGCTGAGTTTCCTCAAAATGGATGTGTTTGTGGAGAGGTGCAGAAAATCGCCTTGAGTTTCCTCAACCGCACATCTCCACAAATGCGTCCAGATTCGGGCGTTGAGGAGACCCCACGCTGCTAGCGCGGCTTGGCCGTAGATGACCGTAGATGAAGGCAAGCGAAAAAAAAACTGCCACCAGAATAGCCCAGGTGCAGAGTCCGCCAAGGCGGGTCAGAGCAAAAATGCAGTCTGGGAAACTCGTGCGGGTCAAGCATTGGGCAAGAAAAAAGGTGAAAAAAAAAGAACAAAAAAAAAAGAAGAAACAACAATGGGCTCTTTCTGTGCTCGGCCGGAGCAGTCAAAATCTGGCATTAAGTTTAGGAGGGGTTTAAATGGGGTTCAAATGAGTTCAGAAGGGTGTTCTGTACTGCCCTCTTTCTATTTGATTTTTGAACATTTTTCATCTTGAATTTGATTTTCTTTTCTATTTTTAAATGGCTATGACCATGGTTGAACCGACCCGCCCCCAGGGAATTGAGATTTTCATTCATCTAGTTCAAAATTTGGATTCGAACTTGGGTCGGTAAAGACTCTGTATTACAAGTACTAAAAACGGTGCTACTGGCCAAGGCACGCCTTCATGGGTGTACCAACTGAGCTAGGCCCATTGCTTCATCTTTTTTTTTATATCTTTTTTTTTTTTTTTTTCACCCTCATGCACACCATATTCCTCCCCAGATCCCTCCCCTCCCCACCCCCGCAATTTTGATTTTCTTGACTTCTTATGTTGTCATGGAGCTGCCAACGAACCTGGCCTGGAGGCCCTGGACCTTGCCTTGGAACCTGCCTGTCCATGCCACCTACCGGTAGTTGGGCATCTATAGTAAACCCGGAGCCGCTTAGGTGGTCACCTACAGAAAAACACACCTTCTACAACCGGTATACCAGTTAACCCCCCCCAGGTCCGTTCATGCCAGCAGGTCGTGGTTTGCATGCGGCCCATCCTTACAGTGACACAATGTTTCCACTTGAATGGATTTTATTCTAGCGCCCCAGGTCCGTTCATGCCAGCAGGTCGTGGTTTGCATGCGGCTGCGACTTTCGGAAATACTGGTGGTTTGAGGATGGTATCCCATCCAACCCAGGGATGGAGGTGGGATCCCACCCAACCCGATGGAGGTCTACTATTGATGTTTCCACTCAAAAAAACAAGCGGACAGAATCTCACATCTCAGAAGTAGCCCATGTCCAGATGGTTGGGCCCGAACTCACCTCTGTCACTTCATTCAAAGCCTGCACGACTCGATGTGTCAGTCAATCACATCCATCCATTCATCCATCTGCCCTCTATCCATCCATCCATCCATCCATCCATCCATCCATCCATCTCCATATATCTGTTTCCACCTTGCATCCATCTATCCGTCCATCCGTCCATCCATCCGTTCATCCATATCAAGACAGTTTTGCTATCTTTCTTGCATCCATGTATATATCCATTTGCCCGTCCGTCCGTCCATCCATCCATCTATCCTGAACTTTTCGGCTAGCTACGTCCTGGAAAATCCCAGCGCGATTACATCCTTCATGCACAGCGCACCCACCACTATTCGTAGGAGCAAAGCACCTACTCACCTATGCGCAGCCCTTCACGTCCTGGAGCTGTTGCATAAGAAAAACGCCGTCCCTATGATACGAGGAATCATTTGCTCAGCTCTGTAAGCGCATACTCAAACTAGGAGTCTCTCTATTGGTGAAAGTAGTTGTAATGAGTCACATGACCGCCAAATACGTCTGGCGGATTGCTATTCTGATTATTATTGTGTCCTAAGATTTTCAACCAACTCAGCAAAGGAAAGTGGCCCTCCTAGGACCACCTTCCTGAACTTTGAATGCCCCACATGAAATGAATGCCATACCCCCCTCCAGGTAACAGAACACAATGCTTTCAAATGGAGGAGGGAGTGCCTCCAATCTGATCGCCCTGTGATGCTGCACGTGCTGCAACCTGGTGCAGTTAACAGACAAGACAACAGAGTGCCGAAAAGGTGACAAAGAAAAAGGTTAAAAAAACGTTATCCATATATGTGTCAACTGGGTTCCACTGAGTAATTTCTCAACAACATCAAATAAAAAAGAAGGTTGACTCTCTCTTTCTCTCTCTCTCTCTCTCTCTCTCTCTCCTCCTCTCTCTCTCTCTCTCGTGCGCACGCACACACACACACACACACACAACACACACACACACAACCACACACACACACACACACACACACACACACACACACACACAACCACACACACACAACCACAACACACACACACACACACACACACACGAAATCAAATAGAAAAGAACGTCCGAGACTCTCTCTCTCTCTCCCTCGCACGCGCGCGCGCGCACATGCTCACGCATGCACACACACACACACACACATGCAGAGATTTTAGTATTTGGAAAAAGAGAAAAGGAGCGTGATGAAGTCCATTAAACCAAGACAATAATAAGTAAAGACGCAAACATCGTTGATTTCCATCTCATATAGATGGCCTGTCACTGGCTGTCAGGCCGCAGATTTTCTGTGGAAACCTTTATGAAGACCGCTGGTTCCATGCATTCTTCAGATCTGATCAGATTTAGACCATTTAGTCGCACCCAGTAATAATCATTTTGTCCTTGCACATGCCCCGTGTTTGATGTTCCTGGCCAGAACCTTGTTGATCTTCCCCTAGCAAAAGGGCAAAAGGGCAAAAGATGCTTACCCTTCTTCCTAAAGATGGGTGGGACCCACCACACCAATCCAAAGTGGATAGGTTCAGAATCAGATAAGCCCCACCTTTCAAAAGGGGGTAGGTAATTCTCACCCTTTTTTTTTTTTTTTTTTGGAGAAGATGGGGCCCACCCCACCATCCATGCGATGATTATGATTATGACAACCTAGCTACATCCCTGTCCTGTGTTTCAAAATATGTTCTCGTATTCTATTTTATTATTTTTTAATTAATTTATTTATTTTTGGTTTCCAAGATTCTTCAATCCTCATATCAGACTCAATTTAGAGTGATTTTTGCCCATCTGATCCTGACCACGTCGGATCTCTGTACAAACAAAACTGGTTGACGTTGCTAAACTGGCGAACTCTCTACTTCTTTCATTGTTTTCCCTTCTTGTTCTTTCTACATAATTGTTACCTTCTTTCTTTTTTTTTTTCTTTTCTTTTTTTGGGGAGCAACGTGTATAAAACTGTGCCGGGAACTGGGCCCGGCATCCCTCACAAAGTTCGCCGCAGCTCTAAGGCTGAGCAAGGGTCTCCGGCCAAGCAAAGCCCAGGCCACGACTGTGGCAAGATTCTACTCCTTAACAAACTGTCTGGCAAGAACAGCAAGTGCGCCAGAATAACATACATACAAGATACACCCATAAAAGCAAGCTATTACGCACGCAAGAATTGAGCCAAATACATGAAACTTCCGGAGAACAGATCCACAAGATACCACAACAATTGTCCACCGATCCGCTCCAACCAGCGAAGCATTCTCAACCTAAGCCAAGCAGCCACAAGCAGCCACCCACTCCTCCACGCGTTTCAAGTACCCCGCATGTAGCCTCATCAGGGAGATTCGATCTAGTAACCAAAGCTCAATGAGAGAGAAACTTCAACAGCAAAATAAATATCAATTCAGCAGAGCACAACGAGAGGGAAAAGGAGGGGGGATTGGGAGGAGAAAGGAGAGTCAGAAACAGACAATAGACTTACGCACATTGTCCAGCACTGCTGCTGAATCGAGTCCAAACCTCTCTGAAATGGAAACAATTCTCGAAGGACGGCTGCAGGATTGGGATCAAACAGCTTAGTCAAGGGTTTTTCACAAATTCACACCTAAAGGGATACTCGCACGAGAACTTTCATGAATGTATATGACCTCTTTCACGACCAGGTGTGAATGCATGTGACCTCAGTTACGTGCATAAAAAAGATCAGTTGAAAAAGTCCTAGTGTGAGTATTCCCCGAGTTGCGATAATTTGAACCACCACCGGTTTAGGTACAACTTTTTCCCCCCCCCCCTTTTTTCTATCAACTTAATGGCACTGAGTACACAAAATCAAAGTTGATCCTAATGAATTGCAAAGTTGGTTTGTAAAAAAAAAAAAAAAAAAAAAATCAAAGTTGGGACAAAACGAAAATTGGAAAGAAAAATAAAAATCTCGAAAAACACAAATTATGTAACAACTCACAAGCTACTAACAAGCTCGTTCAAAAAAAGAAAAAAAAAGAAAAGAAAGAAAAGAAAAAAAGAAACCAAATCATTTCAGGGACGGTCAGCAAAGGTGACACTGACGGCATACTCACACGGGGACCTATAATCCCAAAATCCCCAAAAAAAGGGGTAAAGGCCGGTCACACGGATCCACCAATTCGCAAATGTACCATTCCAGTGCCCAGTTGTCAGCGGCCTGGGAAGCCGCGAGGCAAGGGATTTTGCGGTCACCTCTGGAGGTGACCGCAAACTCCCTTTTTTTTTTTTGCATTTTCTTCAAAAGTTGGCAAAAATTCGTTCACAAAAGTTCTTGCACAATTGGTGGATGGCGCCGTGTGACCAGCCAAGTACCAACTCCCCATTTCTCCAGACGGCCGCGACCTTGTCCCATCTGAAAAGGTACAGCAGTGTGACGTGAACCATGCCCAAAACCTCAAATCGGCCCTTCCCAAATCTGCAAAATATTTTGCGGATTTGGGGTCGCCGTGTGAGTATGCCCTCAGGAAGGAAACATTCACTAAATGCAGGGGGAAATTCGGGGAGATAAAGGGCCTCGCTGCACTACTTTCGAAATGTGCAAAACGAGAGTGAATCTTCCGCTAGAATATGGAAAGATACACCGCCATGATTTTTGTCTTTTGTGCATGTCGAGAGTAGTGCAGCGAGGCCCAAAAGCAAGATCATATCAATACCACCCACCGTTTTCAGCCCACTAGAATGTCCGGCGCACTGAACAGTTGACCCAAATACAACTCCAATGACCTGGCGCTGTATCTGGGCAAAAACGATAGCCAGATACAGCTGTGGGACATCGACATCAGCTTTTCCGGCCTCCGCCAGAAAAAGCAACAGAGGCAGCTGATGAAATTGAGCTACGGCAGCCGCCGTTGGCCCAGCCAGTATAGGTCGTATTCCCACTTTTCCCGACAGTGTGAAAGGTAGCGGTGATTTAAAATGAAAAGGAAAAAAAAAAAGAGAAAAAGAAAAAAAATCAAAAGAACAAAATGGTAAAAAAGAGACAAATGAGACAAACAAGAAAGAGAAGGATCCCAAAGAAAAATTTAAAGAAGAAATAACGGCGGACGCAGCATGTTTTGAAACCCAAAGAAACCACGCACCAACTCGAAATGAGCGATTTCGGTCCAGAAGTATCCGTTGGGCTTTTTTTCTTTTTTTTTGGTTTTCCCCTCTGACACCACGGCCGAGCCCTCTAAATATGACCCCTCTACTGGTCTGACACCACGGCCATCGGTACTTCCGTCGCCTTTTCAAACTGCTGACACCACGGCTGACCCCTCTAAATATGACCCCTCTACTGGTCTGACACCACGGCCGTCCGTACTTCCATCGCCTTTTCGAACTTGGCACAGTTTTCTTTGCCGACGCATGTTTTTTTGCCCATTTGATACTCAAATGGTCACATGAACGTACTCGCCTATAAAATTAAGAAAAAGAAAGACAGAAAGAAAGAAGGGGAAGGATGTCCCAGAACCATCTCAGTAAAAACTACAACTACTGAGACGATGATCAGAACCATCTCAGTAAAAACTACAACACGATAACAACACCGTCATTCAAACAACATATGTGCCAGGTGGGTATACCCGTCCTAGGGTTTGGGCTTTGTTCACGCAGTGACACACGGGCAGACTGAGAGGGAATAGTGAATAGGGGGAGGGGCTCTGAAAAGTGTGGATAATAATGACAGTCAATCGTTCCTGAAGGAAGCAATCAATGCAGCCGGGCTGTTCAGGGGGTTGTCATAGGTTAGACCTTGACTAGAGAGGGCCATTAGACACTGCCTGCAATATCCGGGGTCTGCACTCGTAGATCTGATACAGTCGTGGGCCCAGGTAAGTTTGGGGGCACATTAAACCACCAGTACGTTTCTCAGCTATCGTTGCCGAGGCTAAAATGCACCTACGCGCCAAAAAAAAAAGAACTGGCACGTTATCGTTTTGGCTGGCGCCACCCTCCATTTCGCGCCGGTGCTTCCGAACCCGCCCGCCTCCCGTGTTAACCGGCGGGCATTTGTTTTTCAAGCGGGGAAAGTTACTCGTGGTTTAAGGTTCTACCCTTGTACAGTCTGTGCAGAGAACGCTTATGCCTACTGTCTTCCCCCAAACACGACACATAGGTTGCTTTCCATTTGAACACAATGCTTGTGCATTCTATTCGAACAAACGGAATGTTTCAAATACAACACATATGCATTCTATTGGAGTCGTCGTTTTGTTTTCCGAACGCTCTTGGATACAATGCATATGCCTTATGTTTGGACTCACTCGACTATGCTTCAATCAGGGCAAGGCAAGTCCTGCTCAACCCTGGTGCCTGCAACCGCTGTCCAGTCAGGTCACCCCACCATGATGGCAGAAGGGTGATGGTCCTGAGTGGTAGACACTGAGGTAGGACCGCAGGAGTGGGTTGCACCGAGGAGAACTGAAGAGAGGATGGTGGTTGGCGCCTCATAGAGGAAAGCCCGGAAAGGGCCCAGGAAAAAAAAAAAAAAAAAAAAAAAGGAAGAAAAGAAAGAATAGTAGATAACGAAGGATAAGAGAACAGAAAATAAAAGATGGTAGAGTAGCCAAGCGACGTACATAAGCACGACATCAGCTTAGGGTTTAGGGACTGATCCCTGCCACAGACCATGCATACACACAACCAATCCCGATCCCACCAACAGACCTTTATCGACAAGAGCTCGTTCACACTCGGCAGTGACCATATCCACAGAAGAAGGAGACGAAAGCGTAGAGATTCTAGAGAAGCGAGAAGAGAAGAGAAGAGAGGAGGAATAGAAAGGAGAGGGGAGCGGCCATCCGAAGTGAGCACAACGTGGAGTCTTGCGAAAAAATAGTACATGATGATCAAACAAAGAGCCTTCTCGCGCTCATCCCTACTGATTTTGGTTCCACCTCCAGAAGGGGACACGAAAGAGCACTTTACTGTAGGTGGCACAACTACGTTATTTATACCATGCTCTACTTCTCCTATTTGATCTTCCATCCTTCCATATGTGAGGTACCTTTGGCAAGTGCTTCCATACCTGCATTTTTTTCCTGGTCATAGTGCAGGCACTGCAGAGCGGGAAAAATGTGGGCCGGGAAAACAGGAAAGCAGAGTTGCCTCAGTTGAGGTGAGATGGCAGTGAACGAGAACGACGAGGCGTCATGAGAAGGCTTCTCTTCCAGCGGGAGCGCAAGACGACAGAAGACGATATGAGAAAAGAAAAGACACAAAACCGCCCAAAAGGGAAGAAATCAGAGATCGGAGAGAGAGAGAGAGAGAGGTTATGGGGATACGGGGTCAGGGAGGGGACAAGGCAGAGGTGACGTCTTGGATGTGAGATTATTGAAGAAGACGCAGTGGGATGACAAGGTGAGTTTTCAGAGTGGTATATGGGAAACGCGCGTGTGAAACACTAGATCGGGAACAGGAAAACGTGCAAGCGGTGCAGTGCACTTCGAACTGCCTGTTTGGAGTCCAGTACCGTCCCAAGTTTCAACTGCAGCTGAAACTCTTGACATGCACAAAAGTCGCGAGGCCGAGTTTGCAACTGCAGTCCAGTCCGACATGTGCCGGTTTTTTTTTTTTTTTTTTTTTTTTCCCCATTTCGGCCGTGGCCCAGCCACGCAACGAGATGCTCCCTCTCTTTTTTTTTTTTCCCTTTCTTAACCTCGGATGTGGCCGAGGCATTGCGGCCTTGGCAGACCACGCAACGGGGCTGAGATTGAACAACAACAACAACAACAACAACAACAAAAAAAAAAAAAAAAAAAAAAAAGAGAAAAGAGGAGACTTGCACAAAAGCCAAAAATCAGGGCACTGTATCTTTCCATGTTCTAGCGGAAGATTCACTCTCTGTCTCTTATACACATCTAGATGTGTATAAGAGACAGACTCTGGGCAGGAAAAATATAAAAGAGGAAAAAAAAAAGAAAAGAAACTGGGTCGTTGTCAGCACGTGTATCCGCGAGGGCCTCTGCTTCGTTGTCAGCCCGTGTATTTCGTTGGGCCCCTGTATCTCCGTTGCTCAAAAACACAAAAATCATGGCCCTGTATCTTTCCAGGTTCTAGAGAAGATTCACTCTCGTTTTGCACATTTCGTGGAAACTGAGAGTGAATCTTCCCTGAAACATGGAAAGATACACCGCCACGATGTTTTCTTTTTTCTTCTTTTTTCTTTTTTTTTTTTTTGGAAACGGCCTGCCCCTCCGACGTGGATGACTAGACTGTAGTTACAAACTCTGCCCTGCGACAGCCACGCTACGGGGGAGTGTGGACTGCAGTGTAAACTTGAGAGGCGACTGGACTCCAAAACGGCAGTTTGAAATGTATTTTCAAACTGTAACCCTGACAGCGCCCTAGTTTTCTCAAACGACAATCTTGTGGCCCGTGAATATCCGTCAGGTGCTGTGATAGTAACTTGATACGCGCCCGGTCGCACTACCGGCCGAGCGAGGCCTCTCGGTCCAGATTTGCGCCGGATACCTTTTCTGGTCCAATCCTTGCTCCAGGATTTCCGCCCACCCATCTAAAACATCATGGTGCATTTTGGAAACCTCCTTGATGGTCTTCAAAAAATAAATACCCTGGAAACCCCCCTTCAGCCGCATCTCCCTTCTAAGGAAGATCAGTTGAGGAGTGACATCGTCATAAATTAAATGTGAAATGAGTCACGACGGTCGGTAAGGACCCAAAATCCAATCTGAAGAAGGTTCTGGGCACTGGGCCCGTTTTTGTTTTTTTTCAAAAAAAAAAAAAAAAAAAAAAGGACCCAAAATCCAATCTGAAGAAGATTCAGAACATTTCAACACACCAGTTTCTGCCCGTCCTTCCCTTGGAGAATGCTCACAAGCTCAAGGTGTTTTTTTTTTCCCTTGGTTTTTCAACTTTTTTCCTTTATTTTCCTCTTTTTTTTTTTCTCTTTTTTTTTCCCCCTTCTTTTTCAGTGGAAGAGAAGAGGGTTGACAGGAGGGAGGGGGGGGCCAGGGAGGAAGAGGTAACATACAGGGAAGGAAATGAATGGGGCTGTTTGCAGTGAAAGAGTGCGTTAAAACTTGAAAAAGAGGATACAAGGTTCCTTCTGTGTCGATGTATGCGACTTTCCCATTCCCTCCACCAACACTCCGCGGCATCTGCGTCGTCACACACAGCGTATGTGCTAGCTGTGTCTTTCCAGTCCTGCTTTCACAAACAATAGCAGTAGGGCACTACAAAAATTACTGTTCGGAGGCATGCAATGAATAATGCTATAACCGGAATTTTCACAAACAAAAGACAATACAAGTGCCATTCAAAACAAAAAACAAAAAAAACAAGTGCCATTCATTCAGAGAATCAGCTGGGTTGTCCACGGGGCCAAGTCCCACTTACCTGAATTCTCAAAGTCAGTGGGGAATTGGCCCCAGCGGCATTCTGATGAAGGCCTTCGCGGAAATACTCTGGGGCACAGAGCCACTCCACCAAAAAAAAAAAAAAAAAAAAAAAAAAAAAAAAAAAAAAAAAAAAAAA